ATTTACATGAATAAAACCATTCATGCTTAGGGGTGTATTTGTTTCATTTGATCTAATGATACAATCTTTAGAAGCCCACACAATATTACTAGGTGTGGGAGGTAATTTGTACACTTCAGTGAATCAAAATGTGGGCGTGTCTGTGTGTATGGTGGCCCAAGTTGGGGGTTGCAGGTCTGACATTGTGCTTCCTGCAGGATCATACATGGGTCAGAGAGACTTTGCATCCTACAAGCTAATAATATCCTTGTTAACCATCCGAAGGGGCAGGGAGGAGGCATTAGAGTGTGTGAAATAAGCTGAGAACATCTCATTCCTCAAGAGACTGGGTGACTTCTTGGGAAGAAAGGACTAGAGATTAAGTCATGGTTGTTCTTGGTATCAATGATTGGTTAACCCAATGTTCTTAATCTTTGCTAAGTTTTCTTCCTTTTCTTGACAACTGTCCCCACATTAAACCTCACAAAGTTGTATGGAAAGTGATCAGTCAGGGCAGTTGTCTGTGGACAGATTATCCAGTAAGACTCTGAAACCTGGGGAAACGGAATCAGACAGTGTTGCACTGCATGGGAGCCAGAGACCATCTCAGAATTACTGAGACAGACAGTTGAAGTGTTCACAGTCATTAACAGCACACATTCAATCTGATGGTTGGGATTGGACTCCTGACTGTTGAGCGCACAGCTGTTGGCCTTCAGGAATGCTTAAGTTCCTACTACCCATAGTCTCACTGTACTAATCATATTGAATGGTATAACATGTCTGAAAATATAAACAGTCAATAATAGTAGCTATTATTAATTGCTATCTAAAAATGCTAGTTTATTTTTCCCCTTTCATAAAAATTTTCTAGTAGTGCATGAAAAGTTTTCATTAATAAAAATCCAAACAGTCAGCAAAGCAGTGTCCTGTTTTGCAGAGAGGCCAGCTGGAGCATCATTTATTTCTGTAGAATTGCTGGGGTTTGAGGTTCCTTAGATCTTCCATTTGTGTCAGTTGGATCTTCATTTTGATAATCCTGCCTCAAAAAATTCCAGCCAGCTAGTGAGGCAAGTTATTCCTTTCCTAGAACCACCCAGGAACCCTCCACACAGGATCCCTGCCCTTCCTCTGTTTGACTTCTTAAAATAGTTTCTGAAGAATTTAACCACAACTGAATCAAAACTAACCAGCCTGTAATTTCCTGGTCTGTCCCTATGGCCTTTCCTTTAAAATAAAACACACGCACAAAATGGCATTTCTCTGGCTGATTTCCAGCTTCTTGGGGTTTTGACTGGAAGAAGCTCAGGGATGTCTGAGGAAGTGGTTCTTCTTAATCTCTCATGATTTCTCATAGGGAGAAGGCTGCAGCTTGCATGGGGCTTCATTATTTCATGTTGGCAAAATTAGGCTATTTTAATTTTTTTTAATGAAAAAGTTGCTGGATACTGTCTACCCGTAGTTCTTTATGTCTGCCTTTCCTCCATTCTAGTACGTCTAAAATAAGGCAGCACACAATCTGTACATAAACTACAGACAAAAAGAGCTAGTCTTTCATATAAAAGCATTTGTTATGAAAATCTAAGAAAACGTGAGCAGATTGAATTCACCCATGAAAGGCACAATTAAAATGTATTTGGATCTTTTCAGGAAAGGCTTTCAAATATTCTGATTCCAGCTCTGAATCATGGGAAGACTCCACTTAGACTGGTGAGTAATATTAAAGGTCAGTAATGTTTATTTGCAATGTAGCCATAGCCACTTCCCAACTCTTTTGAACACCATTTTCTTTTAGTTTCTTAATCTCACTGAGATACAATTCACAAGCAAGTAAGTACTTATAATTAATACATAATACAAAAGTTAATCAGAAGCAAGAGTGACTGAAAATAAAAAGTCATACAATAGTTAAACCAAATGTTCCACAGTAAAAACCAAGAGACGTAGTTTAAAACCAGAATGAATATGATGGGAATCCCTGCACCCAGTGCACTACGTCCATGGATGTTTGTTACAGTGAATATTTGCTGGGCTGATGAATTAACCACAGACGTTAATGCAGGACAAAAGCTGCAGACCGATCCTTGAGATAATGGTGGAAGGGAGATGCATTTCTGAACAAACATTCCCATTCAAATTTTATGACACAGTAAACAGCCCAATTTACTATTATAATACAGGATAATCATATTCAGAAGTTCTTAAGTGTTAGAGATGTTTTTATTTCTCAACAAACACTCCATTCAAATTTTATGACATAGTAGACAGCCTAATTTGCTATTATTATTACACAGGATCTTCCTATTCAGAAATTCTTAGGTGTTAGGAATGTTTATACAATAGAGCACGTTTCTAATCTGATCCTATCTATATTTATATATCTGGAAGTCATTATGAAAGTGGTTCCAAACGCATGAGTGTTTTCAAACAGGTCAAGCATATTCACAATTAGAAGCTATCATTTGTATCCTACAAGTCCACATGCTGAAAGTTTTACATTTGTTCCTTCAGAGCATCTTTCTCTTGTACTTTCCATGATATTAATTATCTAGCAAGTTTTCTTTCAAAGCAGAAACCAAAAGCAACAGCCAGTATTCAGCTGCAGCACATTCTTCAACTTAGCTGGGACTAAAATATCTTTACTCTATCTGGCACTTTAAACGATAATTTACTGTTTGTTTTTAAAGAAGAAAAAAAGATGTGGAAATAGGACCAAATATATGGTGGTATATTACATCTGTTCCATGGGGGCAAAAGTACAAGAAATGCCTAATCCTATTATTTCCCTGTGCCCCCATCTCTGCATCTCTGCATTTCTTAATGTTTTCTATAATTACTGCTATGAAGTTTTTCCTAAAGCATTCATCCTTTGGAAAGTTCATTTCCAAAAATTAAACATGGAAGACATAAAACGTTCTTGGGGTTGGACAGATGCAAGAAATATACTAGAATATGCTCATGAAAGTGAGTATCTCTGTGAATTTAATGGCAAGGTTGAAAAAGCTGAAGATTTGTTCCCTGTACAACCAAAGTAGCACCTTCTCCTACGTTCGGCCAAGGAGGAAGACTGCCTTCCCCCATTGGTAATACACTTCCATTAACTGATGCAGACGATATGCTGTACATGCTTACATTGCTCTCCGCCAGACTTTTGGCTGATGAGCATTAACCTCAATTGTTCCAGCTAACCTCTCAGGTCGCATTGCTGAGATGTACATGGATTACCTCACCCCTCACCCTGCAAACCACTCCTTTCACCTCTTATTTACAAGGACGACTTTCCGGGGAGTAATCCATTCCAATCAGTTTTCATCCATTTAGTTAGCACCTGCTCAGATGGTTTCAGCTCAGACACAAGGGGCTGGTGCTCTGGAAAGCACTGGTAATAAATTAGATTGCGTAATTGTTGGTTCTTAATTGCTCAGAGTTCTCTTACTGCTTCTCATGCTTTTTTCTTTAAGAAATTAACTTCAAATCATGGCTCGTTAGACACCTAAATTTCCAACAAGCAAATTGAAGTTCTTTCCATAGCTTCAGAATCTCCTAACCATATTAATATAGTTCACAGTTCAGAGAAATGCTGAGCAAAAGAACGATGTAAAGTTATTTTATGACAGTTCACATATTTAAAAATCCCTGAGTGTATAGAATATTCTATTTTTTATTTGAAGATTGCTTACTAAAATCTGAAAATATTGTAGTAAACAATTAGTGACTTATAATGGACAGCCACCAGCCAGCGACACTGTTCAGCATGCTGCTCATCTATGGTGTTTTACTAACTTCACAGTTTACTTGCACAGTTCAAGTTCCTCCAGGACATTGGCATTTAAACACACAAGAGGAGACAGCTATACTTTTAAATTGTCTAAATTTTCTTCTGCTAATTCTTAACTTCTCTGGGTGTTTCTTAGGGTACAAATTTATGATCCATGGTTGAAAGCACCAGCAGATGGAAAGCCATACATCAACCATTTCTTTGAATAGAATCTTCCTGGGTACCGAATGTGCCGCCTTAATAAAAAGCTATATGGGGTTCTTTTTAGGAAAGCATAGAGCTTTTGCAAGTACATACAACCTATTGCAAGTACAAGTGATGATGTCATTGTTGTCATCATCATGATCACGATCGTCATCATCGTTGTCGTTATTGAAAGCTCAAATAGGATACCTAGATCTGAGGATTTTGCAAAGGTAAGGAAGGCATAATGGGAATACATTCATCTTTTCTATTTCCATTAGTCAGTTTTTGTCCTTCCTACTCAAGGTCACAAAGAACTCACCTTGCAATCCATCACTTATGCATGTGGACACACATCACACAGGCATATAGAAGCATCTGGTGTCACAAAAATATTTCAGCATAATTTTAAAACTAAGGTAAACATTTCTCATTCCTAGTAATGATCATAACCAATGGCTCTGAATTGGGCATCACTCTGCTGAAAGCATTTTAAAAATATTTTTCAGATACAAATGTGAATTTTAAAAAGCACACTGATTGATTTCCATAGGCAGAGTAAATGAGAAGTTTCCTTATGCAGGAACAAAAAAGATCAGACAGAGGATCTGGAAGCAGGAATGATAGATTGTTACTGAAGCTATCACTTTGCTCTGAAGAGGCAGCATGCTTGTCATGCTAACCAACACTCAGAGTGAACATCACAGACAATTTAAATAGTTAGATCCTAATTTGGTGATTCTTCCCCCCTCCCCCTTGTTTTGATATTTACTTGTGACTCTGTCTCTTTCCTGGGCCCCATTCTTACACAATATTAAAGATATACCATAAAACCACCTTGATTACATGCCATAGATATTGTCATTTTCACAAATAAGGGGACTTAATATATTTGTTACAACTCTTCAAATACATCTCTGAGCAGCTCCTTTCCTAAGGAGCAGAGGTGACTTTCAGGTTTGCCCCAACACACACTATAGTGACTTAGGAAGGTGGGAGGTCTTTAACTGTCCCACCCACTAACTCCTGAGCTCTGGGGGACCCGTGTTCTATATGGTACCTTCTTTTCATTTTCTCGTCTCTGCTGGTCCTTGGATTTAACATGGAGAAGTTGGAATTTCAAGAGTTTCCCTATCAATGGTAAGGTTAATTTCTCTCCAGTATCCATGATTGTTTTTGCTGCCAGCAACACCTAGAAAGGAACACAGTTATTAGGAAGGGTGATACTTTGTAATCTTTGATACAGTCTGTCAGTGATAAGAAGATGACATGGTACTTTATGATTTGTGATATTTGTCTTAATATAAAGACAGGTCATTACCAGGGAAATGCATAAACGGGAAATGTGCCCAGGACTGTCAAGGCTGGGTCATTTCTTTATCAGCTCCATCTTCAGCAAGGTGGTGAACACTTTGTACAGTGGTGTCACACTCCCAGGACTGTGCTTAGTAGACACAGGCAAGGCCCCAGCTGGGATGACTGGCAGGTTGCTTTTATGCTACAGAAAGTCTGGTGTTGTTTGGCATAGCCAGCAGTCCAAACAGTCAATCTCTGACTTACTAAGATGTTATAATTAAATCGAGTTTTATAATAGTAAAAATGACTATGTTGGCAGCCCCTTATTTCTGGCTGACCAAATTCAGGTGAAAGATAAAACTGCTTGACACAGGGGCACCATACGAATGGTGCACTGCCTCCCACCCCATCCCTTGCTGCTTAATGTTGATCCTGTTGGTATGTGGACTAATTGGGGTGAAATGAGGTTATTGAGTTTTCTTTTGGTGACGACAGGCACTAGGAACATACAGCTGTATTGTCCAGATGTGTGGCACTGACAGCCTATTTTATGGCTGTGTTTTTTACAGCTTGTTTCCCCTAAATTTCACACAACTCTCTAACATCTGGGCTCTTTTCCTTGGAGCCCTATAACCACTTTATTTACTGCAAAAAAAAAATCATGTAAAATGTACCATAAAAGTTGTTACATGTTTCTCTTTATTCCTGTTATCTCCCTAATAAAGTCCACTTCTGCCTGAAGGATTGTCACAGAAGCAATCTAGTTAAAATTTTTCAACCTTTGTTTTTTTTAAGGAGCATCATATTTATTTATAACCTCAGGATGAATTAGGTGTTGCTACAATGTTCTGACATATGGCTTTTCTCTCCCCACTCCTTGGAGCAATCACTCCTCCGGTACATATGGTGTCAATTTCAGGCCCTCGATCTCAGACAATGACCGTGTGCACTGCTTCTCTGGAGCTGTGTCTTGTCTGAAGCTCACATTAGTTCTTGGGTCAGGGTTTCCATGACCAGTTCAGTCTCTTTGACTTTCCCCTTTGCCAAGGGAAATAGTTTAAAGAAAGGGAGGTGCATATTTTGCTTTGAGCTTCAGAAGGCCCTGTGGGTCTTCAAGTGCCAAAAATGTAATTGGACCTTGTAGAGACTATAGAGGCTCCTGCTCTGCATTGCACAATGAGAAACCCAGGAAGAGGATGTCTTTAAAGCTTTCCTTTCCAAATGCCAAAGGAACAAACAGAAACCAAAAGCTATGTGCATGTGTGTATGTGTTTATGCATCTGTGTGTCGGTGTCTGTGTTTATATATGTACATATGTGCATGTGTGCATATGTGTGTGTGTGTGTGTGTGAGAGAGAGAGAGAGAGAGAGAGAGAGAGAGAGAGAGAG